GGATGGGGTCCAGTAGGCGATGTCATCGCAAGCGCTGGCAATCATATAATACAATGGATTGAAGCGTACGATTCGTGTGAACGCCTCGTGAAGTGAGCGCCAGTTCTTGAGATGAGTGCCGTCGGAGGCGTCAAACATATTGAGGTGACCGTAATTGCCGGGACCGGCGAACGTACCGCTCGAACCGCAGTACAAGTACTTCGAGTCGGGAGTCCACGAGAGCTGCAGATTCTGTCGCAAATCGTTTTTAAATCCGCTCAAAACGCACGACTCGGTCAGTGTGTGGGCGTCGAGGACTAGCATCTGAGAGCCGTTTGTGGACAGAGCTATGAGTTTGCCATTGGCTGAGAAGGAGAGGTCGTGCACTTCGCCCGACGCCGTACTCGTCTCCAGTTTACACACTTTGAACGGACCGTTCGTGTAATTGCGGAGATCGTAGAGACGTATGGATGAGTCGAGCGGTTGCCATACGGCGAACACAACGCCCGTCGGACCAAATGTAGCCACCGGTCGGCTCAGACACCGGACCACTGCCAGCGATCGGCGATCGCCCGGTTGGATGTGTGCGTCCAGACGGCTGTCCCACAAACGCATCGTATTATCCAATGACGACGAGAGGAAACAGTTGTGGTTTGGGTTTATGGACAGACCCGTCACCTGCCATAGTGTCCGCCCACACGACCCATACATCCATCGATTATCGGAAATAAATTATATAAATATGTGTTAATTATAGCAAAAAAAAAGTATTTAAACGAAAATTAAATGATAGATAAAATACAAATTAATAAAAATTAATTAATATTTTTCTGATTATAAAAAAGAGTTCAAAATAAATATATTTATAAATAAATAAGAAATTAAAAGCAAAACTCGTTTTAAAAATCGGAAAACACGACAAAAATCTAACCAAAAATAAAGAGATAATAATTAATGAGAGAAATAGAGAGCAAAACAATAAACAAAAAGAGCAATGAATTGAGTGTGAAATAAGCGACAGCTGTCTATGTCTTCGAGGGAACCAATACGAGTGATAACTAACAGACCTGTCGCTCGTGTCCGGCGTAATAGTGGATAAACGTTGTCCTCTCGATGTCTAAATGTCTGATTTTATGGATATCTGATCCCTGTTTGTGGTCGTCGTGTTTGGAGGCACGAGTGATAACTAACAGACCTGTCGCTCGTGTCCGGCGTAATAGTGGATAAACGTTGTCCTCTCGATGTCTAAATGTCTGATTTTATGGATATCTGATCCCTGTTTGTGGTCGTCGTGTTTGGAGGCGAAGACAGCGGTGTTGGTGTCGTTCACCCATTGAATACACGCCGAGCCGTGCTTTTTGGACGGAATCGCCGACTTCTGGACACCGTTTGTGTCAAATATGCGGACAATCGAGTCGTCGGACGCGGCGATCAGATGATCACCCGATGGCCGCCAATCCATTGAATTCACTTTAAACGAGTTGTCGGAGCCGTGGAAACGGATGTATCGACTCTGACACAGGTCTCTGTCCACCAGAAGAGAGAGAGAAATATGTCTATTAATTCTGTTACTTACCACCCTAGTCTACTCACCACTGTTATGCGCTCTTCCAACACCAGGTAGCGGCTGCGCGAGAAGTAGACTTACTGCCGTCCTCACCACAACAGGAGGCGAAACCTGCAGCCGTTAGACAACCCGATCATGTCTTCGCCTATGGATGTAATGTCTGATCCAATGGTTGAGTCATTCAAACAATTAATTAATTTACTGTTTATTATGTTTTGCTGTGAATAACAATATTTAAGCGCTTTTTATATTTAATGCACATTTTTTTGTTCATTAGTTACCGTATATTTGCGCACATATTTGTCTACAATATATTTGCATAAACTGTACGATTAGTTTTGTAATTCAAAATAAATGCAATGATTCAATACAACCGCGACTTCTGTGCCCTCTATTAAGCTATAAGTGAATCACATTTTCATTTGCATTAAGTTTTGCCATAAGTTTTCAATTAACTGAACAAAAGTTTTTTTTTAAATGTTTCAATCATTTTGTAAAACACTTTTATTTGTTGTAATTATTTACTCATTTATAAAACCCTAATTAATCTAAGCCTCGCCCAAAACTAAGCCCCCGATTGCACCCATAGTTTGCATTGCATTGTTTGGCACACAATTGTGATTAACATTAATGAATTAACAGCGATTTGGTTTCTCATTGAAAAGCGTGTAATAGATTTTGTTAGCCATAGCCGAGACATTTACTCCAGTATTTTAATTAATGAGTTTTAATTTATTGTAATGTGTTTTAATTTTTTATATTATAACTGTTCAAAAAAGTATTTCAATTCTGATTTATATGAACCCAAGAAATGGTTTTATATATGTATTCAAAGAGAGCTCTCTTTCCCCCAAAGTCTTCCTCCAAACTAAAGGCTCGTTTCGGACGAAGAAAATAATTAAAGAAATAAATTTCAAATAAATTAATTGAAATCCGAGCGAAAGAATGTGTGTTTTGAATGCGAGAGAAAACATGAAATATTAGTTTCTGTTTTAATAATATTATTAATACTAAATAATAATTAATTTCTCTCCAAAAAACAACCAAACGCTTGGCTTAAGTCTTGTATACGAAGTGCTCATTAAAAACGATAACTTTTAAATGGGAAACAAGTTTTTTTGCGCACAAAAGAGTTATGTGTTTGAAGTTATGTCCCATTAAACGACTGAACGAAAGAAAAAAAGTTTTTTAAAACTTTTTGCCCAAAAATTAAGATTTAATATTAAAAAATTAAGGGAAACAACAAACAAAATAATGACTGATTGACTTCTTCGGGCTATAAGTCATTATCTGAGGTCTAATTATAATTATTTATTTGAAACCATTTGATACGATATTAATCTTTTTGTGTCTGTCTTATAGAGAAATTGTTAGTATTATTACAAATAATAATAAGTCAATCAAAAGCGTATAAAACTTCTTATTATTATATTTATAAGACTCTGATTACATTTGAAAGCTATAAAGAGTAGCAAAACGATTATTAACACAAAACAAACCATTAATGTAACTATTAATCAAGTATTTCGGGTAAAAGTCAAACGTTTTGTTAATGTTATTAAAACTTTACTTTTTTGCTTCTTTGCCTCAAATACCGTAATAAATAAAATATAGGAAAAAATGTGATTAACATTTGTTTGTTGTTTTCGGTAACAAATGGTCTATAAGTTGTTTAACTAAAGATTATGTATACAGAAGACTAAATTGAAGGTTAATTATGTATATTATATGAACTGAATTTGTAATGAAATTAAGGAAAATGTATACAATATTTGTTTTATCAAACCATTTAATATCAACAATCAATCACTGGTTTGTGGTTTTTTTGGTGTCCGAAGAAAAAGATTCATTAAATTTAATGACAGCTAAAGAGAGAAATATATGGGAAAACATTAAAATTCATTTTTATATTCATTAAATGATAGATTAATTTGATTATCAAGTGGTTTAGGTCTGGAGTTTATGTCGCTTTCTGGCCATACATTTCAATCAATGGTTAGTTTTGTGGATTCAAAACGGCATTGAATTGTTATAAACAATTAAAAACAACTTTTTTAAAATTATTTTATTTGTGCGTTTCGTTTACTGAATAAAAAAATTATATTACTTTTCCTATACAGTTAATTCATCTTATAGTCAGCAATAAAACCTGTTTTTCAATACTATTGCCCATAAATATTGTGAATAAATTCATGTGATGGAAAATCACATGCCATTCATGTGATTGCAATAGTGAGGCCATAGGCCAGAGTAGAATAGGCTAACAATTTATGCACATATGGATAAAGATTATGGTATTATTGATAAGACAATTAAGAAATTATACAAAGAAAACAAAGCTTGTTGTATGAAAGACGTTTTCTGGGGGCAAAATATTAAGTCTATTAATGTGCGTTATTTATGACAACAATATCAATGTTTTGCTGACTATAAGATGAATTAACTGTANTCGCTGTTAATTCATTAATGTTAATCACAATTGTGTGCCAAACAATGCAATGCAAACTATGGGTGCAATCGGGGGCTTAGTTTTGGGCGAGGCTTAGATTAATTAGGGTTTTATAAATGAGTAAATAATTACAACAAATAAAAGTGTTTTACAAAATGATTGAAACATTTCAAAAACTTTTGTTCAATTAATTGAAAACTTATGGCAAAACTTAATGCAAATGAAAAAAGTGATTCACTTATAGCTTAATAGAGGGCACAGAAGTCGCGGTTGTATTGAATCATTGCATTTATTATAAAATACAAAATTAATCGTACAGTTTATGCAAATATATTGTAGACAAATATGTGCGCAAATATACGGCAACTAATGAACAAAAAAGTGTGCATTAAATATAAAAAGCGCTTAAATATTGTAATTCACAGCAAAACATAATAAACAATAAATCATTAATTGTTTGAATGACTCAACCATTGGATCAGACATTGGATCAGACATTACATCCATAGGCGAAGACATGATCGGGTTGTCTAACGGCGCGTCCAAAGCGGAGGACAACACCACTCCTGCCGTCATTCAGATGAAGAGCGCGTCGGCGATGGACCACAACCTTCTCGCGTATTGTCACCACTCATCTGATCCCACCATTCATTGTCTTAATTATCT